ATATGTTATACAGAAGAAAGGCAAGCGATGATTTTTGTAGCACACCTTTTTTCATTCTTCTTACACTTTATTTCCCATTTTCATCTGGAAATACTTATTTTTCAAAAAGGAAGCCGTCACTTTAACTAAGTTCTCTTCCAGGTTGGTATCGATCATCTTTGCTAGTAGCCCTATGGCCTTTGGGGTATGGCTATAAAAATGTAGTTCTATCAAAAAACGGAGTCGTAGGTCTTCTCGACAGTACCCATGAAATTCGTTGCCTGCTGTATATACAGCTCCTCGATGTTCTCTGAATCCAAACTCATTCTTCGAGAGTAGTCCTTCTACTCCTTTTTACTTCTTCTCAGTCGCTCCAACTGACTTCTTTCAGTCATCTTCGGTAATCCGGCTACGAGACTAAAAGGTCTCCTGCTTCCGGGATTCTTCGTTTTTTAAATTATATTATATCTCTTTTTATTTCATACCATATGAAGTAGTAAAATATAACATTCAAAACTTATTTTATAATATTCTTTAAACTTGGAACGATGAAACTATAATTGCGTTTTTGTAAATATATTTAAGCGACATAATGACATTTCTGATATCTTTATGCAAAGAAAGTTTTTAAAGAAAATAATGGATTTATTTTTATTATTTGTTTATATAAAAGTTTCGGAAACATCGATCTTGGGAAAGCAGAGCACGTAGAATCTTTACGTATAGTCGTACACAAAATCGCGTGGATTTTGCTAATGACTATGATAAGCCTAGCTTCCAAGCTGCAAACATTGAATGTGATATTTAAACCAACTACGAATAAGATTTAGTAGAATAACACAATTCTTGATGCAAATGTTGACGTATCAGAACTATGATCAATCTTCAGAAGCGTCATAATCCAAGTATGACAAACTTGTTGCAAACCTGCTTAAATTAACTTTATTAAATTTATATTAAAATTATGATTGAATATAAATTTCGGTCATGAACTTTTACTAAATGTTGAAATTGAAATGACCCTAATTTGAGCAAAATGATCAGAGAAATTCATGTAGATTACGCCAGTTACAAGAGGCATTAGTCAAGTTTCGATCAAGATGCTTTATCACCAATCTGTAATGATTTCCATATCTAATAAAGATTTTCGGAGAATTTATAGAGGCTTTGTATGGATTTGCAAGGGTATCCAAAGATTCTAACTATATTCTGGAGACAACTTCTATATGGCTAATATTCTAGAATGTTCGTTACATCCCTGTTATAACAACAACGATATAAGTGTCGGTGTCCACCTGAACGCTAGTCTGGAAAGAGTAATGTGCAAAGTTGAGGATCAATATTCTCTATTCTATCGATACTCTTGGGATTACTTCCAAATTTCTTTTGAATAACTTTCAGAAAGTTTAGGTAATTTATAAATGGTTTATTCAAAAAAAATCATAACTTCTTTACTTATAAGTATAAAAAATTGATTTATGATTCATATTATAGCTAAAGATGTCTTTTTTCAAAATCTGTATAATATGTAAATACTCTACATAAAAAAATTAGATGACCTAAAACTGGTTAAATTAAAAAAAAAAATAACTTCTTTATTTATGAATATGAAGAAATGGTTTATATCTCAAATTAAAGCTAAAGATGCCTTCTGTCGAAACCTGTATAATGTTTAAATATTTTATATAAAGGAATTTTGAGAAAAAATATTAATTATCTTAACTTCTTTATATAACCTAAATATGGTTAATTTTCAAAAAATCATAACTTCTTTATTTATAAATATAAGGAAACATTTTATGTCTCACATTAAAGCTGAAGATGTCTTCTTTCGAAACCTGTATAATGTTTAAATATTTTATATAAAGGAATTTTGAGAAAAAATATTAATTATCTTAACTTCTTTAGATAACCTAAATATGGTTAATTTTCAAAAAATCATAACTTCTTTATTTATAAATATAAGGAAACATTTTATGTCTCACATTAAAGCTGAAGATGTCTTCTTTCGAAACATGTATAATGTTTAAATATTTGATATAAAAGAATTTTGTGAAAAATTATTAATTATCTTAACGTTCTTTAGATAACCTACAAACGGTTAATTTTCAAAAAATCATAACTTCTTTATTTATGAATATAAAGAAATAGTTGATGTCTTAAATTAAAGCTCGGGATGTCTTCTTTCGAAACCTATATAATGTTTAAATATGTTATATAAAAAATTTTGAGAAAAATTATTAATTATCCTAACATTCTTTAGATAACCTAAACATGGTTAATTTTCAAAAAATCATATCCTCTTTATTTATAAATATAAGGAAATCTTTTATGTCTCAAATTAAAGCTGAAGATGTCTTCTTTCGAAACATGTATAATGTTTAAATATTTGATATAAAAGAATTTTGTGAAAAATTATTAATTATCTTAACGTTCTTTAGATAACCTACAAACGGTTAATTTTCAAAAAATCATAACTTCTTTATTTATGAATATAAAGAAATAGTTGATGTCTTAAATTAAAGCTCGGGATGTCTTCTTTCGAAACCTATATAATGTTTAAATATGTTATATAAAAAATTTTGAGAAAAATTATTAATTATCCTAACATTCTTTAGATAACCTAAACATGGTTAATTTTCAAAAAATCATATCCTCTTTATTTATAAATATAAGGAAATCTTTTATGTCTCAAATTAAAGCTGAAGATGTCTTCTTTCGAAACATGTATAATGTTTAAATATTTGATATAAAAGAATTTTGTGAAAAATTATTAATTATCTTAACGTTCTTTAGATAACCTACAAACGGTTAATTTTCAAAAAATCATAACTTCTTTATTTATGAATATAAAGAAATAGTTGATGTCTTAAATTAAAGCTCGGGATGTCTTCTTTCGAAACCTATATAATGTTTAAATATGTTATATAAAAAATTTTGAGAAAAATTATTAATTATCCTAACATTCTTTAGATAACCTAAACATGGTTAATTTTCAAAAAATCATATCCTCTTTATTTATAAATATAAGGAAATCTTTTATGTCTCAAATTAAAGCTGAAGATGTCTTCTTTCGAAACATGTATAATGTTTAAATATTTGATATAAAAGAATTTTGTGAAAAATTATTAATTATCTTAACGTTCTTTAGATAACCTACAAACGGTTAATTTTCAAAAAATCATAACTTCTTTATTTATGAATATAAAGAAATAGTTGATGTCTTAAATTAAAGCTCGGGATGTCTTCTTTCGAAACCTATATAATGTTTAAATATGTTATATAAAAAATTTTGAGAAAAATTATTAATTATCCTAACATTCTTTAGATAACCTAAACATGGTTAATTTTCAAAAAATCATATCCTCTTTATTTATAAATATAAGGAAATCTTTTATGTCTCAAATTAAAGCTGAAGATGTCTTCTTTCGAAACATGTATAATGTTTAAATATTTGATATAAAAGAATTTTGTGAAAAATTATTAATTATCTTAACGTTCTTTAGATAACCTACAAACGGTTAATTTTCAAAAAATCATAACTTCTTTATTTATGAATATAAAGAAATAGTTGATGTCTTAAATTAAAGCTCGGGATGTCTTCTTTCGAAACCTATATAATGTTTAAATATGTTATATAAAAAATTTTGAGAAAAATTATTATTTATCATAACGTTTTCTAGATAATATAAATATGGTTAATTTTCAAAAAATTATAACTTCTTTATTTGTGAATATGAAGAATTGGTTTATATCTCAAATTAACGCTGGAAATGTCTTCTTTCGAAACATGTTTAATACAAGAAAATGTTATATACAAAATTTTCAGAAAAAACATTAAATCTGTAAAATCTTTTAAAATTAAAGTACAACAGATTTTCAAATTATAAAGTATACAAAAATAAAGAATTTGAGCATAGTGTTCTAGCGTACTAATCTTATCTTTAACGATATACATATAACTTCCTCGTAAACTACATAAATAAGTTTCGTTTCGACATCGTAAGTTTTCACCCCCTTAGCGGGAGAGACATTTTGAAAGCTGTCCAAACCTTAACTTTACCAGTTTTAAATTACACCCTTGGACACTTTTCCAGACTGGTTCTTGCTATCGGTAAAAATGCCCGAAGGGTGTAATTTAAGAATATATAAACGGGCTGATAACGCGAACCGTTTTCAGAAGCTAAACGTAATTTGTACCAGGATTTTGTTTTTCTTTCAATAACGTAATAACAGCTGTCAGGGAGAATTCGCAAAAGGAGAATATATAACTTCTTTCATTTACATCCTGTCCGCCGCAATTACTTGCGGGCGCAGGTTGGAATGAAAAGATAATACAACGGTTAAACTTTTTCGTTTCGATTCGTTGCTTTTCAGGTTTTCTTCATTTTATTGGTTTACCTGCAAATGAAACGTTGTGTTTACGTTTAAAAGGAATCAATCGTTTATGTTTTGTTCATTATTTTCTTTCTTTGCACAATTAAATAGTTCGATGCAACAATTTTTCTTGTTGAATTGCGTCTTATGTCACGCTAACCGTAATATAGTCACCCATTCATCCTGAACCGAAATGGGGCTACAAACTAAGCGAAAGTCACCTTACCTCACGACGTCATTAGGGTTTTAGGGCGCATCGTCTTGAAGTAACGCGGCAACGTGAAATATTTGTGGGCATAAAGGTTATTTGTGGAGACACCATGAATTAACCCCACCTGAGTGTATGCGTTCAATAAATTATGTTGTAGGCGACGTCGAGCATAGCTAAACACGTTACATATGCTTCCCTTTCGCAAACGGTTAAATGATAAATCTTTAAATCAAACAAAAACAGTTGGAGAGAGTTAAGTAACTATATAGTTTGTTTATTATTTGTTAATTCCCTTGAAGATGCGAAATTATACATGATATTCCGAAACGATTACCAAGCCGACCATAAACTATTAATTATTCATGCGGTTTAGAGTTTACCGCACGCATCAAGAGTTTTCCTATAAAAACTCGTAACTGGGTAGGACAAAATCACTTCGGCCTGCAGCTTTGAGTAACAACGTTCCTTAACATCGTCTTGGTAAAGAATTAATTAGCAAAAAATTATTTATAAAACCTATTTTTAATATTTCAGTAACCGCAAAAATGGCGAGATTCTACATCATTTTCGCTTGTTTCGGTAATTACAAAAAATAAATCAAATTTAATATTTTTTATTTCGAATTAATTTCATTTTAGTCGCAATGACCGTTGCTGAAAAGAGTCAAGCATCCGATAGTGACTTAGAAACCGCCGCTGGAGGACATTTCTCATCTATTTCTGTCTCAGATGGTGGATACGGAGGCGGATATGGAGGAAGCGGAAAAAATACTTACAGCGCAGGCAGTGGATTAAAAACCATCGCACAAGGATCAGCCGATCAAGCCAACAACGCCGTAGCCAACCAACATGCCGCAGCTAGTAACGCAGCTTTTGCTGCAAAAAGCACTTTGGCACAAGCAGCTGCCGGAGTAAATTACCCCATCAACTAATTTATCACCCTTATTAAAATTAATTTCTTATAGGCTGCAGCCACAGCACAAGCTGCCTTAATCGGAAAACACATTTTAGTACAACGTCTTCAACAAGACGTCGCAGAAGCTCACCAAGAACTCGAAGCTGAAATTCGTCAACTAGAACAAGCTCAAAGGTCAGCTTCTGCTGCTCAAGCCGCTGCTAATCAAGCCCAAGAAGCTGTTAACGCCATTAACTCAGCTTTAAACGCCGCCCAAGGAACTTTGGCTCATGCCCAACAAGCCGCAGACGCTGCCCACGCTGAATTGGGATCCCAAGAAGCTATGGTTGGACATGCCAAACAACGATTATCGTCTTTGGGACAACAACTTCAAGCTGCTCAAGCTGATCTCCATGTCACCCAAGCCGCTGCCCAACAGGCCGAAGCCGCCGCACAAATTGCTCAATCTAATGCCGCTCAAGCTGCGGAAAAGGCGCAATCTGCTGGATTAGAACACGGAGGTGGTATTGGAGGAGGAATTGGAGGACACATTGGAGGATACCACTAAAAATGTAAACCAGATATTGTTGATTTAATTATAAAAAAATAAAGTAAAATGATGAAAGCATATTTTTGTATTTTTTAAGATATTCCTATACTTTTTAAATTGCTTTTCGAATTTTCAAAATATAAAGAATAGATTCAAATTAAAGTTAAAGATTTTCTTTCGAAACTTGTGTAATGATAAAAAATTTTATATAGAAAAATTCTGAGAAAAATTATTATTTATCAGAACATTCTCTAGATAGCTTAAAAACGGTGTTAGTTTTCAAAAATTATATATTCATAATTTATTAACATGAAGAATTGATTCATACCTTTCTCTTCTTTCGAAACCTGTATAATATTTATAATTTTTATACAGGGTGTTCATTTCAAAACTTTCCACCTCAATTTCTGTAAATCCGGAAGTTTAAAAAGAAAATCGCTGAAATAGGTAAAGAATAAAGCCAAGGGGGACAACTTTTTATGCAAAAATTGACTCACTCACTTCAACCCCCCGCCTCCAGAAATCAACCCGTGTTTAAT